GACGCTTCCTCCTTGAGTTCGTCGCGCGCGGATCGCGCGTAAACACGATCTTGTTATTCGAGGAATATCCCCGTCAGATACAATGGCAGGTCGTTCTCGCGTTCTCCGATTTTTCTAATTCGTCGGCGACCTCGTAGTTTGATCTCCTATCGTTTTGTTTCATAGTTCGTAATCCAGTTAAATCCATCGGTTTATACTTCATAGTTTATAATACAAGAGTAACATAGAAGAAAAAAAAAGAGCAAGAAAGAAAGAGAGGAGAAGAAAGGGAACAGAGATTTGTAAATCGTTCGAATTTCACGAGAGCATGGGTCGTGGTCGAAGAATCCCAGCTGTTAATCGCTTCTGGCTTTGATCTTTGACTCGTTCGCAAATAATCGTTCGTATAGTCGATCAAGAGATACGGCTCGTAGGCGGACTCATAGATGGATCTAGCCAAGTGGAGAATTAATTCTACGTGATGTGGCGGCGTCCATAGAACGCAGCCGTTTCTACGAACGCGTTCTATTAAAAATTAGAAGCATCGACTCTTCCTGTCTTCCACTCCGCTCACTTTTAATTAAAGAACTCTTCCCTGGAAATATGGAGAAATAATAGAGAAAAAAATAGAGAAATATATATATATATATAAAACGGTAATCTTTATCGTCTTAACGAATAGTTTCATTGCGACATTATATTTCTTGTCTGCGGCAAATTTTCATCGTTCCCGTAGTATTCTTTCCTCCGAGAGTAGAAAACGATCTGAGGATTTGTTATAAACTTAGCGCTTTAACCTAATAACGCTTTAACGCTAGAACTAGTAGAATGATCAAGACGAGCAACATTTGTTTTTCATGGTAATTTCATAGATTTACAAGGGCGCATTTCGCAGATTTTGAACGATTCTTTACATGATATATGGATAAAAATCTTGTCTTGAACTATTTATTTATTACCATTGCTTCCATACAACTTTCGTATTTTAATCGTGCGTAGTTGTGAGCGTTAATCAAGCGATGACGAGCAACAATTCGAGCAAACGAGAACGTAGATCGGAGATCCAGAAGAATTACTCGATTCTTGTTCCGTGTACTCTCTACACGATGAATTTCGCGAAAGCAACCAGATGATCTTTAACAGAAACGTATCGATCACTCGATTCGGTTCGCGGCTTCTATATTTCACAGAACGATTCTGTGTTCCCTGGAGGATCAGCGAGAAGAAACGCAGAACGATTTATGGCGTGGAAAGACACGATTTTCACGTGGCGGAAATAGTTGACCGACATCGACGAATCCTATTAACCGGCACGGTCATGAAAATCATTTACACGTGAGAAGAGAGAGACCGACACGTGAACGAAGGAACATGCTGATGGTGTTATCACGCTAACCAGTCGTAGATGACATAATGATTCTGTTTACCAGCAAACTGAGCGGAACAATCCCGGTTTTCGATTGCTACGCTCGAGTTCGTGTCGAGAGAACCCGCCGTAACGAAGCTCGCGTCGCTTCTGCTTTTTACTCGAAGCAGAAAGAACCTGGAAAAACTCGCGGAGATGCCATCAATGACCAGAAGACTGCGAGTTCTCATGCAAATTTGTATTTTTCAGAGTACAATTAAAAAAGTACACACTCCGTGGGAAATTGTTTTTCCTACCAAGCGTTAAGACAACTCTACGCTTTGGACACATTTTATATATTTTTTCGTATTACGTGCAATTTGTGTAAATTTTCACTTTCAATTTTTTTTATAAATGCATAAAAATCCATAGTCTATTGATAATTTGATGATTAAAATTTAAAGATGATATTTGATAATTATTACGACAGATGATTTGAACAGTGATTAACAAATTTGAAATTGCATTACTGAAAGTGTACATAGTACAAGTATACGTATCTATAGTCGGAGGGAAGTAAATACAAATTGAAGAACAAAGGGTATATTTGAGCCTAAGCCATTAAATAGAGAATTTTATCGACACCCTGTATATGTACTAATATGCATTTAAATAGAGTAACACAGGATTATAAAGTCAATATAACGGATTATAAAGCGAATATAAATCTTGTCATTCGTTACGCTTCTATGGTTTTATGGTTAGTTGTGCGGTTATCTGTCGTTTCATATAATCACGCGGTGGATGTAAATTACGATAATGAATAGGATATCTATTCATGAAACATATCTATTCATCGATGCCTTTTCTAGAAGTGTAATTGCTAGTTTTCATAGAATATCGTTCTGCATTTACTTAAAAGAAGAAAAAGAAAGAAAATTCATCATGCTTGTTCAAGTCATGAAAATGCATTGCGAGATAGAATTAATAAAATTATAACTTGGTTAGTCGTGAAACTAAAGGGATGATTTATTAAAAGAAGTTACACCACTATAATTTTTAATGTATCGTCTATTCAACAGATTAACTGCATCTGCAACTGTTACAGTCTTAAAATCAATTGCAATCTAAAAAAAAAAAAAAATACAATGATTATCTGAAGCAATACTTTTCCAGCAGACTCAGGCTACTAAGAGCCTAGAGCAAAGATTGAAAACATACGTGTGCGTTATTTAACAAAAAGTAATTTCTAATGTCTAGATGAGATATTCGTGCAAATTATGCCTCTATAAACTCTGCTAAAGAAATAAATAGAAACTCGACAGAGATATTTTCCACGTATTAAATATTATAATGAGTACTACTATTTCAATATTTTGTACTTTAGAATATCGTGTATTATGTTTGCCTTTTTACAGGTTTCCATAAATACATAAATATCCCAGCCTATTAATAATATATGAGGAAATGCGACTTTAAATAACGAGGCACCAACAAGTAACAGCAATAAATTCGCGTTACAATCGCGTTAGATCGTTCCAAATAGCGAAGGAATGGTTTAACGATAGGAAAGAAGTGGGCGATCAACGTCAATTAGTTTCGCGTCATATCCGTTCTGTCGATTTTTAACCGCGCGAACGTTCCGATTATTTATCGCGTATAACAGATAGAAACGCAGTGACCTCGATGCTTTATTAATTCCGACAATTAAACAGGCGTGAGAGATCGCGGTCGACGAAACGAGCGCTTGAATAAATGCGGGCTAGACGATACGCTAATGCAACGACACCAGACCCGCTAATAGCTGGTTAACAATGATAATTCGGCTGTTATCGCTGGTCAAAGTGGTACAGCGCAGATAGATCGTAGGAAAATGGGTGCCGAGGCAAACCGTTTCCATCGGCGAGTAATGATGACCCCCTTGAAACATTGAACGGGTTAAATTCAATCGGTTGGTGGCGTCACATTGAGAAAGACAAACCGCCCTCGACCCCGAAAATTGTTATTCAACCGTTTTGCGTATGCGCGTTAAGTATCGCCGATGGGTATCGTAAAATTTCATCGGACTCGTGCTTGCTGAATATAAGACGAGAATAATTACGATTACGCAAAATATAACGTAATTGATGTAACTTATTCGTTGGAAAATATTATCTCTGACAATGATACGGAGTGAGTCAGTAAGAATGAATGATCATCCGAAATAACTTGATATCTATCGATTTCACGAAGAAATATTTCAAATGAAATTTATTGTATTGCAGAGGGTTAGACGTATGGGGATGCGTTTTGATATTTTTATGTCCTGTAGTTTCTGAGTTACGGACGTGGTTTTTTAGATAGCACCATATACCTTCGAAATGAACATTTTTAGAGGAGAGGAGAGAGGACATTTTTTTCTCCTTTTGCACAATATGACAAAGTAACTAAAGATTTGGATTTAATCGCGTACATTAATTCGTAAAAGTACCGGTTACCTTTAGTTTCATAATTAATTAAGTTACGACTTCGTCCTTTGTCGCGAAGCATTTCCACGACTCGAGAGAATGTAATGGATTGTTTACGATAACAAACAGAATACAATTTCGATAACAACAGAATACAATGAGAAACAGTAGTGGACTAATGTGTACTACTATGATTCGCAGCTCTCTATACGTACAAGAAAATTTATTAACATTATTTAGTACTAAGATTCAAGCTGCGATCTTCTCTTTCGAATTATGGAAATTATTTACGAGTCACTTTATCGAGAATATTGCAGCTTCTTGGTCTGTTTTCCTCTACAGAGATGGCTGAATGCTTGGTAGACGTTCTGCGATATTTCTAGTGGAAGTTGCGCGATATCCGGCGATTTCTTAGAATTTGTTGGTTCACGTTTGACCCTGAGCTTCGTCGTCCTTCCCCTCGGTGTTACGATTTATGAGAGAATTTTCACGGGTTCGCAATCTTTTCGTAACGAGGTCCTTTCGAATCTTCGGGCCTCTTTGATCTCGAAAAGATTACCAAGTGGTTGTCGTTATCCACAGCCATGATTCAAACGGCTACGAAGTGTATACCTTTTAATCTTGTCGCGTGTTTTCTTTACTCAGAGAGACTGGCTGTACTTCAGCGTGATTGATATTTTTGAGCAAAGAATTTACTTACGAGCTACGCGCTATTTTATGGTATTAACATTTGATTCTATAACTTTATTTTACCGCTGTGCTAATACGCGATAGAGATGCAGATTTTTCTGCATTTACAGGAGATGTAAAATTGCAAAATTGCACAGAGTGCACGTAATATCGAGAAACATGAAGTATATTAAGTATTATACATAGGTAGGTAACACAATTTTCTATCGAGGTTCTACTTTTTTTGATTATATTCTCAATGATGAGAATTTGCATAAAAATCTGTAGACTAACGATAGCGTAATAAAATAAAGATACACAGTGAGGAGAGTAAAAAAATACAACAGTTGAAAGAAGCAGACAGAAAGGATTGCGTATCTTTCAAGTTTTATAGGAAGATAAACGACTTCTTATTTTCTAAACCATAGACAAATAGAGTTAACAAGGTGGTCGTACGGTGGACAACGAAAATTCCTTGGCAGCAATATCTTAACGTTATTAAGAGTAATCACCGACGTTGCAGAACTTTCCGCAGACGCGAGGAGACTTTTTCACGGACAATGGGAACAATGAGGAACAATTTCGCGGCAGTCTTTGTGCTCCACATCCTGATGCACTCGACGAGTCAATCCCTTTCGCTACGCGGCACAAACGGAAATTCCTTCAAGAGAAACAGTCTGCCCGGCGCTTTAACCCTCGAACAGCGATCTACATCCTCCACGATCTACGAATGCCTGTTCGTTGATCCCGATCTACCAGCTTGCGACGTTAAATGGTGAGTTACTTCGATATCAGAATTTTTATATTAATTTTTGAATGGAATATCAGGATTTTGACACTGATAGATGGAATAGTATTAAACCATTAGCTGGCGTGGCCTCGCTGGAGGATCATAAAGTGGTGTTTGTATAAATTTCAAAGCATCGATCATGATTCCATCCAAATGGGAATTTTCTCCTTAAACAAAGAAAATAAAAGGAGGAAATAAATAAAGAATATTAGTTAAAAAGTTCGGAAAAATCTCCATATGTAAATACATGTATCTAAAAGAGATTAATTAAAAAAATATTGAGAAAAAGGTATCGTGAAAAAATAAATCTCAAAATATGAAATCACTGTCATAGACGGTAAATATTAATATGCAAGAAGTAATCTGATCTTCAGTATCACGTTGGAAGCCTGCTTGTATTGTTATCAAGTATTTCGAAATTGTAAAACCACTTCCTATTGTTAATCGTTCATCCTTAACTTTGATAACGTAAAATATAGCGATATTAAAAATTAGTCTTCATTTTTTAGGATGCTAAATTCGACCGAGGATCCGACGAGTAGTCGAAATTCTTTCAACAAAGATACAACGCAACGCTCGAGAAGAAACGTCGATATTCCATCCACGATGGACGTCGTAGTTTATACTATCGAGGGCTGTTTACCACCTAGGTAAAATTTTTACTTCCCTACTTCCAATCTTTTATCGATAAGATATTCAGCAACAGAAGAAAATAATATTTTTATTCCGCCTTTTTGGATTTTAATCTCACCTACTACTATCGAATTAAAAAACCCGTTACGTGTCATTGAGTCGCTTATACTATTCATTTATTTAACAATATTTATTGAAATCTAACTCAAAAATGTCGATGGATTTCGATTTCTAGTTTCTTATCTTTTTCATTGAATTGAACAGCACTCTTACACCACGCATCGTTATTTGTTTAATAATATTAATCTGTATTTTAGTTTTTGTATCTTTATAAAGTCAGGAAAGATTGTGTATATTTCGTGCATCGTATATATTATATACAATATAATATTATAAATTTATCATATAATTTAATAGTATTATAAAACATAAGTGACTCAAGGATGCACGAGGTATAAATAATTCTTTCCAATTCTATAGAGATACAACAATTAAAATGTAAAAATTCAATTTACAACAATTAAAATTCAGATTCCATTAACATTGTCATGTTAGAATTCCATCAATATCGTTAAATATATAATAATATAGGTATCGCATATATATAATACTATGTTATATGTTATTATTCATCCAACAGTGTTGACGGAATTAATATGTTAGAATTACATTATGATGATGCAATTATCGAATCGTTAAACAGGATACCCTTTTCAATGCCTTCCTGCGAGGGAATTTCCCTGGACAGAATCGTAGATGTACAGAAATTCCGTCCCTTCACCGTGAAAGGAGTGACAAAGCCACCGTTCGTGTTTCCGAAATTCAATTATTCTCGATGGCTGAGCATGATGACGCGGTTGCGGAATCATGTTTCGTCTAAAACACGGAACGTAAGTAATCAGGCGTGGCTATTCGTGAAGTAATATCCTTTCCTATTTCGTAACGCAAGTTTACCACGATACCATTACGTTTCTCGGCAGAATTTTAAATGAATTTTTCCTTGCAAGCTTCTCTCAAAAGATTTTGAAATTTTCTCCAACTTTTTCTCATTTGCAAAATCTTGATATTTGCTTCGTCGTTTTCCTTCAGTTTCCTAGAAAAAAATTCCATTTACTCTTCCCTTACTCCACAAATGTTAATTATATTCTCTGATTTTCTTTGATTTTCTTACCTACGATACTTGTTCTTCTTCTCACGTTAATCGTGAAATTGATCATTTTCAGGAAAAACGCGTTTTCAAGGAAGCTTTCTTGGAATCGATTCAGGATCGTATGGAAGGGCTGATGACCGCGGCCACGACGAAGGCAACGACACCAATCGCAATTGCGGCCAATATAAGCCATACAAACGGGTCGTCGCCGAACACGTTCATTCCTAGCAATGCTAATTCCACCGAATCGATCGTTCAGCCACGAAGAACACTCGAGAACACGTCACAGACGTCGTCTTTTGCAAGTGTAGATAATCCTCCAATCCTGCAATTCCATGACAAAATAAACTCAATGAAATTATTGTCTAAAGAATTCCACGATCATTCGAAGGTCAATGCTGCTGATCAAAGACTACACGCAATTCCGGAAACTCCAGCAATTCCGGAAATTTCGAACGATAAGCTAGTATACGAACGCGAGACGATGGAGGAACCTGCGAATGAAATTTTGAATTATGACAATTCCAAGAAATTCCAAGAATTGATCTCTAACGCGCGGACGACCAGAGATAATAGTGGAATTGCTCATGATTTTCCAGTCACGAAGAAGATTTTCGGAGCATTCAGAAGAAAGAGAGAGATAATGATATCAGCTTCGGCGCAGGAAATTACCGACGGAACAAAAACTCGTGGAATTGCCGATCGAACGATCGTACAAAAATTAAGGCATAATGGAGAAAATTTGAGTTCGATGACGAACCAGTTTGCCGCTTCTAAAAGCCAAAAGAAGCAGTTTAAAAGCTTAAATGTTATCGACGACGAAATTAATACTAGCGAAGACGTTTCGAATATAGTAATTCCAAGTTACAGTAAAGAATCTAACGTTGCATCTGTAAATAACGATTTTTATGGTAGGACCGATAGCTGGAAATCGACATGGCAGAAAACCGTGTCGCCAGAAACAGCGTCGAGAATGAAGTATCGAAATCGCGTGGAATTGTCGTCGTTTAGAAGACAGTAGTATGCATAAGAAAACGTTTCGATCGAAAGACTAGGTTAAAACGATACATTGAGGGAAGAACGTAGAGGTAAGAAGAGATTATGATAATTCCAAGTAGACTATGGAACTGTGCACGATCAAACTGTCAAGTAGGAACTTATTTTTCGAAGAACAATATTAACGTTATCAATCGGCAACAATGTTCTCTGGTTCTTCGATAAAGGATTAAGAAATCGCGAATGATCGAGGAATCGTAAAACGAAACGACTTTGAACGATATTGAGTTGAATTCGCCAGAATTCCGACAAAAGTTTCCTTTACTTTTTATTTTCGTAAGCGTTTTTCGCTTTAAGAAGATGAGAAATGAGACTTCGATGCATGCACCTGTAATTTCTGCCATAAATTCGATAAGTGTGACGATTAAAATTGTGCAGATTCAGCTTTACATCTCGTTATTCTATCGAGACCTCGAATGGTCGCGTGGTGATTAACGCTTTGCATATAAATAAATAATCTGTAAATTAATCGTCTAACATGGTTTTTATAAGAAATTTAGGCGGAACACCAATATTGGAATATTCTCACCTTATATATCAAACTTTCACGGGAACAATACGGTATACACAATATGATGTATTAAAACCAGAAATAATGCCCTCGTTAATAACGATTATAGTAGGTTCAACAACATAGTGAAGTTGTAAAATTGCGTTAATATGATATAACATATTCTGCTAACGTGATAGAATATTTTGATTATCCACACGATATTTTAAACAATTTTACGCGAAATAGGAAACCGCCATTGATCGTTACAGAATTAGTCAACAGTAACATAATTTTTAATACATACAATTTACAACCGCAGCATATCGTTGAACGTGCTTATACTTCGCTGTACGATTGGCAAAGCGTTGAATGTCACAAACAACGACGCGATATCAAGAGGGAAAATCACAAAATAAATCGTAGATCGTAAAAATCGCCCAAGTCACCTCCTCGAGAAAGCTTCACCGTGACGGAAGCAATAGGGTAAATATTCGCCAAAGGAATCCGTTGTCCTCGATCCTGCTTGAAATTTGGAACGAAATTTGTCAACGAAGACGAGCTGACAGATTGAAAAGCGGTAGGGTTAAAGCCAGACTCGTGGATACCGACGTTCTTTTATCTTTTTTCTACTCCTTCTCACAATTTTCCTCTTTCCTCTCCTTTCTTCTTCTCTTCGTCCATTCTCCAATCCTGTTTATGCATAGAAAAACGTCTCGACTCGATCCCTTGTTCCGATAAATCGCGCCAGTTTCCACCGCGGAAGGCACGAGAATATATTTCCTCCCCCTCGAATTTCACCTCGAATCCCGCGAATACGAATGGTAATTACTAGACTGCGAATTTTTATGTATGCGCAGGAAATTTCGAAGTATAAAATTGAACAGAATCCGCGTAATATGCAAAAATATACAAAACAAATAAAAAACATATATGGATAAAAAATATATAGATATTCAAAATAGTATAATACTGGGTACGATGTTGATAGAGACTATAAAAGTATTTATTAGACCACCTTTATACGTACTAGTTGATTAGATCCAAATGTAACAAATTCCATATCATTTCATAGTACATTCGTATAATTACGAAAATTTGGTAATATGCAAATGAAATGTAAAACCTATTGAAAAAAATGCTTCGTCGGAAAATAAGCTAGCGTAGAAATAATTTTTGCAAACATTTTTGCAAGCATGAACCAAAGTTCTACATTGGTTAGTTTAGTCACGTTCATAAAAATATAAATTTCCATAAGGATCTGCATTCTTCGATAGCAATTACCTTCGATCGCATCCTTTCATCGATCGTGATCAGTCGGTATCCATACTGTGCATTTATTGGTGTTATTCATAAATCTCGACTCGAATTAGGTACACGTATTTCGTCTTCGTTGATCTCAGGAGACAAAGAAACGGACAAAGAAGCGGACGTGGAACGTAGGTTAGATTACGCGCGATGACTTCGTTAATCGAATTTCTGAGTTCGAGAGTTTTTAAGCTTCATTTTGATGTTAAGAGCAGTAGGATGACATTTATGTGAAAATGTTGGACAAATGTAGAATTTCTCGTTCGGATAGATGGATATAATTGGTAAAAGAAATTGATGCAAATCGGATACTAACTAAAAGTTCGTTCGAATAAATGGAGTTCTACTGTATGATATTAATAGTACATATATAATGTGATATGTAAACTAAGACGACAAAGTGATAACGTATAGAGGGATAATTGTTAAGCGACTGTCTATCGACTAGGAGTAGGCATAGCGTAATTTTTAACTTAACGCGGTATCGCAAGTTTCGACATTGCGATTTTATTTACTGCTGTATGTAACGTAAGGCGGCTTGAATAAAGCGTGTTACAGAATAAATGACGTTTGACTTTTGTTTAATATTCTTGAGTTCATACGTTTGAAAGTTGGTTAATCGATTGGTTTAATATGCAACGGAAACTATTTATCAAGCAGTATTTTATGAAAGTCCCGAATAAATAATCCCTTTCCAATCTCATTGAATATAACATGGAATATAACGTCGATTATTAAAAAAGCTACGAACTTTTTTGGTAACTTAGTAACAGAGGTAGAAAATGTAACTTAAGAATCAGAAATATCGTTTCTATATAATAGAAAATATAATTAGTACTGGGAAAATCAAGGTCAAAAGATTGGAATGGAACCCGTGTATTTCTTAAATCTTTATTCTCTGAATTCTGCCCAGAAAATCAAGAGTTACATGTTAACACTTCCCGGTCATGAGAGTTTTGAGTTTCATGATTATGCTTGTGGTCGGAATTATTTTCGCACAGCGGGCGACGCACGCTCCGTTAATTACTATTTCTATTACAGCTCCTCTTACTATACCAACTTTATGGCCGTAATGATGAAGGTGTATTGGTGAGCTATATCAGAAGTTCGACCGGCAAGAGTTAAGTATAAAGGAATAAAGTTGTAAAGCGTAAAACACTTGTACAATAAATTGAAGATCTATTTTTTTAAGTTTTTTGATCTTCGTATTATTTTATATATGGTACGCTTACTCTTTACTTTTCACTCGTCGCAATTTTAACTTCGACCTGTTCATCAGGATTTGCGGCATCCTGAGTCTCCTTAACGTTATCCGTCGCCCTCAACCAATCCAAAGGCATCGCTTCCTCAACTGGTGGTTTGCCTTTTCCCAAATTGAATTTATCGACACCCTCAACATGATCCAGGGAAATCTCTTGTTTCTTCGGTGCCTCGCCCACTTCACCCTCCTTCCCCGACTTCCCATCCTCAAGCTCTGCAAACTGATTACTATTTTCTTTCTGCGATGGATCTTCAAATACACGAGAAGGCAGGAGATTATTAAGAACCACAGGTTTATGAACAACATTCGGAACAACAGGTTTGTCGTCTCTCAAAATCACAATATGTTGCAAAGTAGGGGCACGAGTGGTGCTAGGATGATCCAAAGTAAAACTCGTGGATGTTTGAACGAAATCAGGATTCTTGATGACGATTTCCGGCTTCCTCTCTTGCATTTCATCGATTGATTTTATCGAAGGTTTGTGAATTATTCTGGGCAGATCTAAGGTAGCATCTTCATTCGGATTAGCCAAGGTGATACTTAGAGAAGGTTTCACATGCTGAGACGAAGGTTTTGAAGGTTCGATATTTTCTTCCTGATCGTCACACAACGGTATGCCAATATCAGGAAGACAATTATGAGCGACTAAAGTCGCAGTGACTGGAGTATTCAGAACTTTAGTAATGTAAATCTGTTTTGGCTTGGTCACTTTTTCCAAATGTGAAAGGTGCTTCCCTTCCCTGATCTTTCTTTCTTGTTCCTCCGTCAATGTAGATGTTCTTCGATTCGATTCCGTTGGCTTCTCTGTGAAGAATTCTTCAGAGCTACGTGAAGGCTGTAGTTGCTCCAGAGGAAACGAAGCGACCATCTCTGGAGACTCGAATTTGCTTGAAACTTCCTGTTCCAGCGACGAGACGCTCGACTTCGACTGGACGTCGGTCAATATCGAGTATCCAGCTTTTTCTCCTTTCAATCCTTTGCTGGTGGCACGCTCGTACTCCGACTGGGATTTTCGCAGACTGTCCAGACACGGCGATACTCCCTTTGCAGGTTTCACGCAAACTGGTTGACGCCATCGAACGATTTCGATCATTTGAACCTCCTCTGTTATCTGCGGTTGTATTCCTTGCCAGAAAAATCGGTTCAAATCCAATGCATCAGCAACGAAAATTATCGTTAGAAGCAGCGTCAATGTGATCATAAACCTCATGGTGAAAGATGTTCTTTTTGATATCGATGATATATTAGTTTCTTAACGTAAAGATCAAAGGATCTTGATAAAATAAAAAATCGAACGCTCTTGTTAGTAAAATTTAAAAGTGAAATAAAAATGTCGAAGTCGCTTCTTAGTAAAGAGTAAACACTAAAGATTCCCCTAGTAAGATGCAAGAAATCGGATAATCTTTTGAAAGATCAAAGCATGCTTTTAATGAAAAGAAAAAAGAAAGATGGATAAGTTTTGGTAAACACAAAATACAAACAGCTTTACAAATTTCGAGAGTAACAAGTTGTCCACAAGACACTCGATAGTACACTGTTGTCTTTTCAAATAGAAGCCCTATTTATAGGTGGAAAGGCAGTAGGATCTATGTGGAAAACACGAGACAGAATCTCCATTTTCTCAACCAGTAACCAAGGAGACCTTTTCGTCGGGTAGGTGGACGATGTTTCAGGCGATTAGCAGGGCCGAATATACCTGAGTCGAAACCGATTCCACTGCACTTAAGAGGAGCCACTAACGTCGCGTTAATTGCCCTTAAAGGTCACATGGGGCCGTGTGTCTGTGTGTTGGACGTTTCTGAAGTGGACGAGTTAATTGCGGGGTTGGAGTATGCTGGCTAATGTGAAGGTGCATTTCTGAAATGCTTCTTTCACGATGGCCACCTTTACTATGCTTGATTGCATGTAGTTACATATGTTTGTGTTTAGATATACATATCTGTGGAAAATTACTTCGCTCCCTTAAATTAATTTTGAAGAGAATATGGATGTTTCAATTAATTCTATGTATTTTTTTTCTCTTTTTAATTAAGATGCACGAAGGAGGGTTTAATTTGAAGTATCAACTAATGCATTTTAATTACTTTTATTCGCACGGAGTGTTGCAGCGCCTGAAGACACGCAACTTTTAAACGTAGTGCGTTGTAATGTTATATACCGCCAGGTGCATCGTGGAATGTGTCTCTTATTAGAAAACTTTTTAAATAGATATTGCAAAAGGAGGTTTTGTTTTGTAGCTTGGTATGTATTAGTTGAATTCTATTTTTTTTATGAAATATTTTTTATCTAAAGAGACTAACATGTGAATACTGTGGTTTAAATTACATTATATAAAAAGTAATTTTCTATGATATATACATGTGTTGAATACTAAAAAGTACTGTAATAAAATTGTTAGAATTTTATTATTTCATTTACTGAGCCATCTTGAATATCCTTGTAATTCTATTATCAATTCAACTTTGGTAAATACATTATAAAAACTGTTGCAAATATGAATGTATATATCTTCAGATATATATTGAAAACCTTTTGTTACAAAAACATTTATATATATTTAACTCCTTTATTTTAGAGAATATTAATGCCCTTGTATATATATTCCTCGTAAAACTATCTATACTTTAATAATATGTATTGAAGTATAATGTCCTTTTCAGGTCATATATCCGAAGAAACCATTAAAATTAAATTTCTTATTTTTACAAAATATGACTCCAACATATCTAATCACGCTATTAATAGCATCCCTTTGAAACCAATCAACAAATTTCTCAGCGTCTCCACCTACCATTACAAATCGAACCTCCAACAAATATCTCCTCTCTCTATCTCCTTCTAATCCATAATCTAATATATAGTCATTTAAATCCTCCTCTTTCTAACCCAACGAAAGCGTTACGTCATCTTAGACATAGAGGTTAAAAAAGCAGGCCTACGCAACCTAACCTCGAGAGTCACCAAAATATCCGAAAACGTCAAAACGAGCATAGGGATGATAACAAACATCTCCTGAAAGGAGAAGAAAGAAGGAACTTGGCCACACCTGAGCTGGATTCCTGTTGTTGGGCATTAACTTTACTGTGCCCCTTCTACTGAAACGATGCGCGGAGAAGGGGCCAGGCATGAGGGACACGTGGAAAGGAAAGGAAGATATGTACTTCCCAAAGATGCAGAGAAGAAACGTGGAGGTGGACGAGTAGCGATTTCTTCGACAACGACGAGGATGACGACGATTGTGACGCGGTATAACGGGTGATCCTCTTGTTGATTAACTTAAAAGCAGTATTGCCAATGACACTACATATTTTCATTCCATACACATATACACTTCATTCCCGCTTAAAAGTCTTATTTAATAGAACTATGATACTTGAGATAGATTATAAATTTTGCATTACATTTTGCACAAAATTATTGATATATTAGTAGCATATCTTCTTTTGTCATTTACAGTATGAATTATAATCACAATAAGTTATTACTTATAATTTTAATTAAGATTTTTGAGCGAAGGTGTATGTACGCACATATATAGTTGCTTTTATACTAAGCAGCAATCGAATCGATACCGATACTATTAACGATATTTGATTAATTCGATTCCAAAGTACACAATAGGGAATATCGATACGTATAGAAATTCTAGATACTCGATATCAATTATCGATATCGATTCTTCTTGAAGCAGTACCAAACTAATATTATATCAAATTAAAATTAGTGTGTTTAAAGCTATGGATATTTTAACGGAGTTTCATTCTGAACAAAACATCCGAAGGCCGGATTGCATACATTCATAAGAATCTATATTTATACAGAATTTATATATATATATTTGATTGCTTTGACGCATTGAGTTCGTCAGAAAACGTATTCACTCTGTATCATAACCTTGTCGAAATCGGCTCCTGATCATATGTAGGTAGTTATACATATATCAATTTGTTATCTCTGCAACTTGTCTTTCAGTTAACGAACGAGAGGAGCACAGTGTATGTAGCTCTGAGGCTGCGGTTAGAAAGCCTTAAGCCGGGTCCACAGTATCGCGCCACAGCTCGCTACGGCCGCATACCACCTGACCATCTACGCCGAACGATACACACAACCTGTCCGGCATGCACCGTGTCCGCGTACTCACGGTGCCGTACATCTGACCGACTGGTACCAGTACGGTACCAGTTGCCCTGCAGCCAGGCAGCTGCGCGCGCGTACTCGCCTCGTCCAAAGGATCGCGATCGCGTTGTCGATCCTGTGAATATCATTCATAAAGTGTCTTATATATATCTCTATCTACATATTTTAT